TTTTCAGTTTTATGTTGAAGGATGTGATAGGCAGCTTTGTTCTTGGTGGCATGGTTTTCCTTTCATGAAGGAGCGTTGGATTGGTTTGCTAAAGGCTACCTCAGTTTTTGTTTACTTTCTTCTTGATGTTTGCAGTGTAGCCAGCGACTGAGATTCTGATGACAGCTCACTAACAGTGCCTTCATGAGCAATCAATTTTATGTATGCATGGTCACTCTGGTATCCAAATTAGTGCCCCTGGCCCCAGCCTCAACAAGTAATTAACTTAGAGGACATTTTATGCAATAGGAAGTGTTCAAATTGCCTATGTCATCCAGGATCTCGGTGATCTCATGCCCTGACTTCAGAATTAAGGTTTCTATATTGACATCACAGCTTGACTAATATATCACAGTAATATAACAAATGATTATAACTGTCTCAATTCAAATTAGTTGTTTGCTTTATGAACGGATTTTCCTACGTACCATTTGCATTCCCGCCTATATGATGTGATTTAATTGTACATTGTAACTGTCTTGTACCATGTGATTAGTTTTATTGAAATTCTCAGATTTGGTGTGATAGGTCTTCGGCTTCCCTTCTGTTTCGCCTCCTTATGAACAAAGTAGAATTTCCTTTTTAGTTAGCTGGTTAAGAAACCTCCCCCACCAGAGAAATTAACATTTAATTTGGTTGAGATCAGGTTACTTAGAAATCATTGAACTGTTTCTTAGGAAGACTAACATGTGATATATATGTGGATATATTCATGTTTATAGTGCTCGTATGCATCTGCAAGTGTCTGTATATGTTGGGATCCTATCAAACTCTCCATACAATTGCAGTCCTCAAATTTTAGGAAAGAAAAGTAAATCAGATAAACAACTCTAATTATTTAAATGCAACATACCATAAGATACCAAAAACTTTTGTAGTTGCAAGTTCCCTTAAACATTTCCCACAAACCAGCAATTCTTGGTTTTAGATTCCAATTGTTACATATCATCTCTAGCTCCTTGCCATCTTCTACCCTGCGATTCCACCATGTTGGTCGATTTGTAGGCGGTCACCAACTTCTGGAGTCCAAGATTTAGCAGGAACCGAATGCTAGTATCTTCTTGTTTTTTTCTTTTATGTTCGAAGTATAGTCTGAAACGTAGGGCTTTGAACTCCATATGCATTTCCAGTCCAAGGATAGACAATATGTGATATAAATTGTCCAGTTGTGCTTGAGCAAAAATCAACCATCAGTGCATGCACTTCTGTATTCATTTCTTAATGTTTTTTTGGATCTTTGCATTTTTGCCATTCACTATGATTAAACAAATAGAAGATATTCAATCATTTTCCCCATTTGTATCTGAATGCATGCAAGCACTCTCCCTGCACTATTTTTTTTAATTTTTGTTTACAAGTTAATTCGGTAAAAAGTACTGATTATACCCTTTCTTGCTTGCAGAAATCCCGGAGCTAGTTTGACTCATATCTTGCCATGATTTGAGATTTCCTTTTTATCATGCGATCAAGGAGTGGATTCAACGAGCAACATCATGTTTTCAGCTACATCATATGGATGCGACAGCCTTTCTTCTAACCAAGTCAAATGTATCTTCTCCCTGAAATTCTTCATAAAGGCTTCATGGATAAATCTGGAACCTTTCTCAATTTTTACTTGCCTAAATACAAGCCTGTGTTTCTTGCATAGCCAGCTATTGAGATTCTGCTGACAATTCACAAAACTAAATGATGCCTCAACAAGGATATAAGCAATCTCCGGCATCCAGTATAGGATCCACTATAGAATAACTTGGCAGACAGTTTATGCTTGAGCAACTTTACAGATGGGCCTCCTTCATCTAGTATATTGGTATATTTTCTTACCCCAGACTACGGCAAACATCCTTTTGCTAACCTTGTACCACGCTGAAATTACTGCTTGACTGATGTACAGCATGTCTTAAATTGGACGCTGTCTGGCTTCGATCTTTTGTAACATGTGACTAATTTTATGGTCATTTTCAATCTAGCATACTTTAATCAAGTTTGCAGGTTTGGTGGGTGTATTTGACATCAAATCTGAACAGATATAAATGAAAGAAAAGACCGTTATCAAGTGACTGATGCAAACGTATGATCCACGTCTGTTTTCACTTGGACCAGCCCTGGTTGCTTCTCCCACTTGTAACCATGGAAAACTACAGATACCAGTATCTAGGGTTGGATCAGCAAGATCCAAGATTACTGACTACCTATCATGAACAATTATTAAATCGACTGCCATGTGTTAGCACCATCAATCTCTGAAGGGGTATGCTCATAAAACCTTGATTTGGTCCACCACCAAAGAGTATTCATTTCTATTGCCATGAATTTTGTTAAACACATCATTAACAGTGCCTTTTTTTCTTTTTACACATTTAGATGATTAATGAGGTATGCTTTCTTCGTGATTATCAAGGTTCAAGTTTTCAATAGTTGTCAGAAATAAAATTCTCATATTTTTTTTTTTAGTTTTATCATGAATTAATTATTTTTAATCAGATAAAAAATGGATTCAATCTTGATGTATCAAAGTTTTCAAATATATTAGCATTTTCTTACTTTCAAGAAATAGGTTTGTCTACATAGATTATATTCTCATCTATCCTTTGGTGTTCTATAGATAAATCTATGCTGAAATTTTATGCCTGCTTTTATTCTTTAAGCAATTATTAGACTTGGAATCCAATTTTGATCATGGCAGCTTGTTATTATCCTGTACTACACATCATTTGAATTGCAGATACTCTTGTCAAATTTATTTTAGGGATTTATTTTCATCGCAAGAACTAATCTGTGATCGATATTTTTTTATTTATAAAATATTTTATGTAAAAAAAATACTCTAATATCATGGTAAACGTCTACTTTCTAAAATTGTAATACAATTTGAAATATTAAGATAGTGTCTGGATATTATTTTAAAATAAAAAAAAAACAAAAAAGCAAGATAGTTGTACTTATGTCTTTTCTATTTTGAAATAATATAAATATTATGAATATAGATTTAATTTATATGCATCTTTGTTCATCCAATTAAACATATTTATGCCCTTTATGTATTAGTTTTTTTTTTTCAAACATATTAACCAAATATAATCTAGAAAAAACATATTTTTGCAATTTGCCAATTTTTTCTCTATAATTAAAGGAAGAAAATAATACTCGACAAGGAATTAACAATTTTTCTACTATTGTTTCCACTTCCCATCTAAAATTCTAAATTAAAGGAGGAAAAAAAATAATTTTAGAAATTGGTCTCCAAAATTTCCCAGGTTAGATCGCCTCCCTCTCGAGTCCATCTCCAATCAAACGGCCCACATCTCACCAAACTTAACCTCATAATTTTTGCGTAAATCTCTCTATGTACGAAGTAATCTCATGTGGTGTCCTCCACTTCCATCTACAATCAACAACCATTAATTGCCGTCTGATTCAAGCATGGTTTTTATAAATGCCATATATATGTATGTATATTATATTAATATTAGAGTGTGTATTTATTATATTAGATTTTAAAAATATAAATATACATGGCTTAGGATAAATTTGGATTGTGTTTTGGATAAGATTTGATAATATTTATATTTTATTTATTATCCTTTAAATTTAATAAAATAACTATAAAAAACTTTATTTGTTTAATAAACTTATTTTGATATTCATTGAATGTAAGTTAAACTCTCACACATATGTGTGAAAAGGTTTAAAGCTAAATATATTTTTAAATAATTTTAAATGATTAAAAAGATGATAAATAATAATTTAAAGTAAGTAAAAAATAAATTAATTTTTGACAATATAGTCGAAATTATTTTTTAAATATTTTTTTATGTTAAAATATATATCAATAATTTTTTTATTTTAGCATCATCACATTAAAATAATTTAAAAATATATTTTTAAAATATAAAAATAAATAGGTGTATTTTAAAAGTGTGATTGCGGTTGTTTTTTAATAGGAAAAATATGCTAATAATATATTTTTATTTTTTAAAAATTATTTTTTGAATTAGTATATTAAAATGATTTAAAAATAAAAAAAATGTATTAATTTAAAATATATATTTTTTAAATTCTTTTTAAAATACTTTAAAAATGCAGCGACAAACATATCTCAATGCTGTTAAAGTCCCGCGGTAGGGCCTTTGATTACATGATTGATGTGTTCTGTATGATCTTTCCTGTCAACAGATTGTATGCTTTCTGATTTCCCTGTGACCCCATTTTTAATTGACTTTATTGTCAAGTTTTGTCCCACAAGTTTGGAATAAAAATATATTATCAAAACCTAGTTTCTTTGGATAAAATCAATTACACTATAAATGTTGGTTCTACTTAGTTCATATAAACCCTAAACCCTAATTTAATATTCTAATTGCCATTCTCAAATTTTACAGAAAAGGGGGTCAGTATTTTGCCAACCAAAAAGGTAAAAATCAAAGAATTACAGATATCAGATTTATTCCCACCAAGATCTGAAGTCCAAAAATATAAAAATTACATTTTTGACAAAATTTTATCTACTATTATTACCATATCAGTTGATTTTCTTGCCATGACAATTAGCAAATAAGGATCCTATCTTCTATATGCAAGTAATTTACACTGGTCAAGCACATTGACATTAACAAAATATTTTAGATAGATATTAACTATATATAAATATTTTTGTTTTAAAACTAGACCGAACAAGTTTATATATAATTCAAGTAATTTAATAACTTATAGTTTAGATTATATTAAATTTTAATAAAAATATAAAAAATATTACCTTGTTACTATCCAGTTTAACACTCAAATTAATCTACTTCAACCTACTTAGATTTTTAGACTTGACCGTGATGGAATGCTTATCTAAATTGACTTGAATGCAACCCTTTTTTAAAAAATTTATTGATATTCATTGTTATATAGTTTAAAATATCTATATAATTTAATACTTGATCTATATATATATAAACAACCACATCACCAAATTTCTACCTCCATAAACAAAGCCTCAAAAAACACAAATCAGAAAAAATTTTGTTGTCCGAAATTTTTTTGTCCGAGACAGACGTAGAGGGAGGGGGAGAGAGAGAGAGAGAGAGGAGGGGAGTGGTCATAATGGGGAATTCATTTGGGTGCTCAGCTTCAGGGGAGAGGTTAGTTTCAGCAGCAAGAGATGGAGATTTGGTGGAAGCCAGGATGTTATTGGATTGTAATCCGTGTCTAGCTAAATATTCAACTTTTGGTGGCCTTAATTCTCCTCTCCATTTTGCTGCTGCTAAAGGCCACAATGAGGTAAAAAGGTGAAAAAAGGGTAACTTTTTTTCTTTTTGGATTTTTTTTCTTTTAGTTAATGTGTCTGATTTTAATGTTCTAGATTGTGGGGTTGTTGTTAGAGAATGGAGCTGATGTGAATTCGAGGAATTACTGTGGCCAGGTAAAGAAAATGTTGTTCTTTTATTTATTGTGATTTTTTTTGGGGCGGGGCGGGGGGGATTTGATATATAAATGTGTGGGAATGCTCATATGATTTGTTGGATCAAATTTGATTTTTTCTTGAAGTTCTTAGGTGAAAGTTTTGATTTTGATTTTTTTTTTGTTAAGTATTTTAGTGATTTGATATATAAACGTGAGAGAATGTTCATATGATTTTTTGGATCAAATTTGATGATGGGTATTTTTTTGAAGTTCTTGTGGTGAAAGTGTTGATTTTGATTTTTTTTGGTTCAGTATTTTAGTGATGGGGAAATAAATAAAAGTTGAAATTTTTGTTTCATTAGAACTTTAAGTTTGATTGTAGAATTTTGGACTTTTGTTTCTGTTAATATTAGTTATGTGGAGATGAACGAAACCCAGATTTTGATTTCATTTGGATGTTGCTTGTTTTTGAAACCAGATTGATAAAACGTGTAATTCTTTAATTTGAAACAAATTAACTGTTCTGTTTCGATTTTTTTTTTCTCTAGTTGGTGATATTTTTTGTGATTTTTTTTTGAAGACGGCATTGATGCAAGCTTGTAGATATGGACACTGGGAAGTTGTGCAGACACTTTTATTGTTTAGGTGCAATGTAAGTAAATTCAGTTTCAGAAGAGAAACTTTTGTTGATTTTCCTGTTTTACTTGGAACTTGTTCTTTTTTTTTTAATTAACCTTTGTTAAAATTGTGGCTTTATAGGTTACGAGGGCAGATTATCTTAATGGAAGGACTGCTCTACACTTTGCAGCTGTAAATGGGCATGCAAGATGTATAAGATTAGTTGTAGCAGATTTTGTTCCTAGCGCCCCTTTTGAAGCTATGCATGCTTGTATAGAAGGTGATACTGGGGATGGTTCTAGTGAGAAGAACAGATTTGACCAGAGGTATTAGTTCATTCAGATTGTAAAGATTTTCACCCTGATGGCATATTGATTCTGGCGTCATTACTTTGGTGGGAAATAGTTGTTGTCTGATGTTTCCCTCTTGCTGTTAGATTTATTCTTTTAGTGGTTTATACCACAGATGTATCTGACTTATGTTATATTATTGTGCAGTGCGCTGTCCAGGTTTGTAAATAAGGCGGCTGATGGTGGTATCACTGCACTTCACATGGTTGCATTGAATGGGCATTTTGATTGTGTACAGCTTCTACTTGATATTCATGCAAATGTATCATCAGAGACATTTCATTATGGGACAACGATGGATTTGATAGGTTTACTTTTCTGCTCTATGCCTCACAATTTGTTTGCAAATCTTTCGATTGTGATTTGTACCCCTGAAAATATAATTATGTCGATGCGTAGGGGCTGGAAGCACCCCCTTGCATTATGCTGCCTGTGGGGGCAATTTAAAATGCTGTCAGGTAAGAATAATATTCAACAAGAAGAAGCTTGCCTTTCCTGTTTTTGACTTTATGAACATTAGATGATAGTGCTGCTAATTCTCCAGATCCTTCTTGCAAGAGGTGCCAGTCGGACGACATTAAATTGCAACGGGTAAATTGCTTTGGGTTTGTTTTGTGTTATGACTGATTGATGCAACAGCTCTGGAATTTATTGTGAAAAATTGACATAGAAACTCCTGTGTTTTCTTCAGGTGGCTGCCTGTTGATGTTGCTAGGATGTGGGGGCGTCATTGGCTTGAACCATTGTTGGCACCAAATTCTGAATCTACAATACCTAGATTTCCTCACTCTAATTACTTAGCCTTGCCTCTTTTGAGTGTACTTAACATAGCAAGGTACTTTTTCAACTTAATAAATATGCTCCCTCTCTCTCACGCACACATGCTTATATAGAGGTGTGCATACATCCATGCTAAGAAGGTGATGGTTTAAAAAATATCATCGCAACAGCACTAACTAAAGTCTCAAACGCTTGATGTTTATAATTTTCTAAATTTGGGTATCATTGGAATTTCAGAACTAAATTTGAGTCCAATAAAATAGCCCAGTTTCTAATAGTAAACTGATAGAGTGGATATGGGTCCTCTGCCCTTTGTTGCTTTCTTGGGCAGCCTATTGTTTAAGGAAAAGTGCAACAAAGAGCAAGAGATACGAACTCGGTTAAGAACAAGCTGCTCTAGCTTGGTTCACTATGAGCTTGTCATCCAAGTCTGGCTGATATGGAACCTGTTTTATTGGGATACGAGTGCCTTACAGTTAATGTCTCATGCTTGCTGAATACTGTATAAGCTAGATACTGATTATGTTTTCTGTGTGCGACATCTTATAGTATGAATTGGTTTAATGATGCTTACAGAATTAAATCAAACTATAAACCCTTCGTCGAGGCAATGTGTGAACTGTGAAGGATCAAAACTTGAGAAGGTTTCTACTTTCATGTTTTGTTCCATATCCTGCTATCAGTTGGTGCTATTACTACTTCCAGGAAAGGAGGAAAATGAATGACCGGAGAATTTATAAGCTCTTAGGAGAGATGTAATTAGTAATTAAAATTCCTAACATCCCCCGTGTTAAGATTGCTTGAAGGCTGAAGCAGCACATGTTGGCTACCCTAGGAATGGAATTATCTGTGCATCATTGCATCAAGAATGACAGTATCTTGTGTCAAGAGTTTCCCTTGCTGATTGCTTATTACTAAATCATTTGTCGACTTGTTGCACATGCAAGACACTCATATGTGATGTTACACATTTTTTTAGATCTCAACCCAGAAAATCTAAGCCTACTACAGCTACTTTTTTGTTAACCTTGAATTGAACCAATGCCCTGGAGTTTGATATGATTTTGAAAGTTTATCAGTGTTTAGTTAAATAATGTTAGCCTTGGTCAATGAACACTGAATATGATGCTTTCTGAACTTTCTTTGCAGAGAGAGTGGGCTGCAATGCTTGACAAGGCCCTCTGATGACCCTGATATTTGCGCTGTTTGCCTGGAGGGGGCATGCAATGTGGCCGCGGAAGGTTTGTTCTTTCTGTCTTTGAATTTATCAAATTTTCCTTGTGTTGATCTCTTGGACCTCGATCCTCTTTATTAGCACATTTATATGCTCATGGTTCTTCCGGAAGCATCTATTTTCCTTCCATCAATATAAATGCCACAGCTTTCGAAGATTCACCTATTTAAGCAACATAATATTTTTGGCTGGGAGAAAAGAAATTAGGTTCAATGCCAATGCTTATCGCTGGCCTATGAAGAATGTGATTGATTTGTCAATATCAATTTATTTTGGTTCTGGTTTCTATTTCCATTATCTATGAGCTCAATCATGTCGATGTATTCATATCTATAATTGCTGCATCTTTTTGAGGACTTGTTATATATGCTGCATCTAGGCAGCAAAGACCTTGTTCTCTCTTTCAACCAATATAAATTTTTCTATTGGTGAAGATCGAGGACTGTGGTGTCTTTAAATCCTTGCATGAAGGTTCTCGGTTCTTCTTTTTGCATAAGCCAAGTGCATTGTTTTCTTGTGTTTTTCCCTTAGTTATAGAACTGCGAAAGATTTCATTCATCCGACCGTCCGTATCCATCTTTAATTGTGAAGATCTAACTTTCTGCTTCACTTTTTCATGTTGGCATCCAAAGTATCATGGGATATCTTTCCCTTCTACTAGCGCACATAGTTTTAGTATCTCTGAAATTGCCCCTTTGACAGAAATATGAACTTGGAAAAAAACTTCATTTGTAACTTTAATTTTAGAAGTATTTTGAGAACCTTTCTACTTACGTTCTCCATCACCTTTGCAATCTTTGGTGAAATTGATTGTGTCCAGTATGCCAGTCATTTCTTGTTATTGATCGGCAGTTCTCATATTTAGGGTGCAGGCATGAGCTTTGTGTAAGATGCGCACTCTACCTGTGCTCAACAAGCAATATCTCATCCGAAATGGTAGGCCCTACTGGCTCCATCCCATGTCCTCTTTGCAGGCATGGCATTGTCTCTTTTGATAGACTTCCTGGTTCCTCAGCAAAGGAAATGAAGCTTCCTCTGTCTCTTGGCCTCTGTGCTCCATGCATGCTTCATCCTCGTGACATGGATGGGAAATCGCTAGCATGTTTACCAGAGGTCCGAAAGAATCGAGTGGCTTCAGTTTCTTCTGATTTTCTCTGCCCAGTCACTTGCAGCCCATTTCCTTCTGTTGCCATCCCTTTATGTACCTGCAATGATGAACCATGCCCATCTCTTGAAACCCAAGAGGCTGAATCACAAGATGAATCCTCTCATCGTTCGCAAACATCTGTAGAGCAGGTTAAAGTGGAAGGACCAAGGCTTGAGAAAACAAGCTGTTCGAGTATGTTTTGGGGGAGAAGGAGCTGCAGCAGAGAGCATCAGTGCACTTCAGAAATAAATGCATGACTTGTTTTGCTGGATGAATGGTCTAGATTGAATGTTTTGCTCACACCAGTGTGTGTGCAAGGTTGTGATATTTCGTCATACCAACACTGAATTTTCAAAATCCATGTTTGCTTCCAGTTTTTCTCGGCTGGCTACATGAACAAGGCATTTGACTCTGCCCTTTAGATGTTTTTTTAAAATATTTGGTGAGGGTTGTAAAAATTGCATGGGGGGTTTACAGATCGATTGTAATTGAATGTCATCAAAGAAGACTTCTTGTCCCTTGTTCTTCCTACCTTTTGTTACTTACTGGCATCTGTTAGCCTTATTAAACAATGCTTCTGTCTTTGATTGGCCCGGGACCGGAGAGATTTGAAGAAGTAGATGAGAGAGAAAGAGATGGGAGAAGAAGCTGAGAAGAAGAAGAAGAGAAGGCAGGAAAGGGAGGAAGGGAAACTCTCAAACTTGTGTTATTTTAATTAATACACATTATAATTTTATATCGTCCCTCGAAAATTCTCTTGAGATTTTAGCTAAAAAAAATATATAATTTATAGATTTTCTTATACTTGTATTTTCAAACCGTAATAGTAACTCTATCGTAATGCCATTCACACACTAAAAAGCCTTTTATAGTGTCCATGAAGGAAAACCTATTACTCTCTTGATCATTCATCACCTTTTTCTTGCAGCAGTTTCTCTCTGTGCATCAAAGTACACTGCTGCCACTGGCAGGTCCGATCCATTGTCTCCAGAAAACCTTCTAGTGTTGAAACAGTCTCTTGAAGCTGGTTGCCTCTCAGTTTGCCTTCCCCTCTGCTTAAATAAGATGAACGCATATCTATGGATACCAGCCACAGGTTTTGGAGTCTCATAGAGCACAATTTCCTTTCCTGTTGTTTCGCACCAGACGCATTAATAAAATGTATAATAAAACAAACCGAAAAACAAAAATTTCTAGCTAGCTAAGAACTCACCAAAGGAAACAATACCAGCTGTGCCAGGAATGTCAGTGACCATCCTGAAAAAGATAAATATATATGCTGCAAAATATGCCCTTTTAAGGGAAAATGAAAATGTAATCTTGCTATATGAGTCAGCATTTATAGTACAAACCAGTGGAGATGTTCTCTCAAGTATGGATCACCAGGGCTTGGAGCATCAGGGTCTGTCATGATCTACAAAGACACAAAATTAAAATAAAGCAAAGTAAAGGACTTAAAGGTATAACTATTGATCGTAATGCATTAATATATAGCACTAGAGGAATTGTTTTGTAAGATTGAAAAAGATAGCAAAAAATGGTGGCAAACACGAACTCAGTAGCGTACATGCATCCTCATGTCCTCACCACCAATCTCAACTCTAGGTCTAGAAGCAATGACAGAAGGCATGAATTCATAGGCATTAGAAGTCCCCCATGGCAGTTTAAGTAACCCAGATTCCCATCAAATTAAAGCATGTGCTTAGGAATGAACGAGTGATCTCTCCCACCAAACCTGAGGACATTATGCCCTCATGTGTTTGAAGCTTGCTAGTTTAAACATGAACTAATCAAACATCACGCGTAAAATTACAGTACTTAGTCCTTGGGTCTTGAACGCTATTATAACTTAGTCTTTCTTATATTAAAGCTTTTAATTTATAGTTCTTTACAAGTGTTGACCATAGTTTTATTAAGATATTTGTTAGGTTTTTCTTAATTCCAATGTACTCATCTAGAAAAAGTTGAAGGAAACGAAAATCAAGGAACTAAATTATAGATTTTCGAAGAAGACTAGGCTTATGTTTGGGAATTGCATCCAAATAGACGCTAAATTATAACTAGGTTGAAAATTGAGTGGCTATAAGTAATTTACTCGAGCGATAGCGTAGTGTTCAAAAAAAAAAAACCTAGCCATCTAATAATTAGTTTAAAATCAAGTTAAGAAATTAATAATTAGTTTAATCACGAAGTAAAAAGATTCTCTTTTTTGGCTCATTCTCCTTTTTAATCAAATTAGAGAGGTGTCATCATCCCTGTGAACGTTCAACCAATGTTTAGAAACTCAATTTTTTTAATTAAATTTCATGTATATGGTGTTCTTCTGTCTAAGGTTGTTGACAGAGGTCTTTCTTTCTGAAGCATCCGATCTCTTCTACTCTATCCTTGTCACTTCCATTTCTGGTTTTTTCAGTGCCTTCTGTATATCAAAACTAAATCCATCTCTCTTATTCAGGTAAAAGCAGTTCATCTACAAGATTTTGTTTCATCCTTTTGTTTACAGGTTTGATTTTCAACATTTCTAGCCTTCTTTTGGGTCATCAATGAAGGCATCCCTGGTTTATCTGCTATGACTGTTATGCATGCAGGCGAGGTCATGATATCTAGTCCTACGATAATGTGCCAGACATGAATTGTTTCGATGCCGTTTAACCTCTTAGCTATCTTCATTCTTGGAGATTCAAGCCTAGCGTCGAAATCAAAAGCTTGGCATATGTCGATTTAATTGATCTCCAACTGGGCTGCCACAGACACATGCAGCAAGCCAGCAAGTGGGCAGTGGCTACTTTCTGCTAAATTCTGATATCTGATCTGATGTAAAGCAATGACTGTCAATGGGCGATGGGGCGTGTGTGTGTGACTAGTCCATTTTTTCTCAATGAGCTCAGCATTTTTTCTTCTAATGATGACAAGCTCAGACTTAAAATTTGTGGAATGATGATTCTTTCATAGTTATGAAACTGATATATTATGTTGATAAGGCAAAAAACGACTGATCCTGACATAATTAAACGAAGGGCCATTAATGCAAAGCCACTTCATTAATGCAAAGTCACTTCACAGCCATTGTCAATCTTCCATCTTTAGCTCATAATTTAAAGTTTCAAAATCTTTGCAATAAGGCCATTAAATTTTTCTTACAGCGATTAAAAAACAACTGTAAATTTCCCCCTTTTCATAGTTTTGAAAGCGTGCACGCATCTAAGCATTGATGCATGGGATTGGGAAAGGGATCGTTGCTCTTATTGCTCTTCTCTTTTCTCTCACTCAAACCAAAAACCATTAGTTAATGCTTTCTTTGCTTTTCTGAGAAAGCTTCAGTTCAGCTGACGTTCAAGTCCCGCACGCAAGGTTTCATGCTATGGAGTTGGTGTTCTCATTAAAGTGTGTAGTTGTTTATGTTTGTCCAATCACATCTTATAAATGTGATAATAATTATGATTTAAAGTATTTTTAAAAAATACATATAAAAATTATAAAAATTATTTTGACATCAATAATTTAAAAATATATATAAAAAATTAAAATTTTAAAATAACACAATTTGCATTCCGGCTCCAACTTTGGATGCAATGCCAATCATACCATGCAAAACCATGCCATTTTGGTACAAGTGATACTGTGATTGGATTGTTTGATGAGATCTTGGGATGAACTTGAAATCTAGACCGATATGGGAATGGACTAGAAATTGAAATCACTATCAACATTCTACGGATTAATTGAAACAAACGAACGTGGTGAAGTTTAGAAGTCCCATGAACATGAGGGGAGCCTTGTGACATTGAGAAATTTAGTGGGATTTTGGAAGTATATAATGTCATGAGCCTCCTCACCTAAGAATATATATATATATATATAACGGGAATTTGGAGTTTCCTCGTCATTGATTGGTGGGTTCTACATTTAATTAAACCCACATGAAATTTACCAATTTAATTATTGAGGGGTTTCAATAACCTGATTTTTGGTGGATTTATCTGTCTAACGAGACAAATAGTTCATTTATTTTTCTGTTAAATTTTTTTTTTCTTTAAATTAAATATTTGTATGTATTTTCAAGTCATTTAATATATTGGTGTTAAAAATAAATTTTAAAAAATAAAAAATATTATTTTGATATATTTTTAAGTAAAAAATACTTTAAAAAATAATATTTATCATAATATTAAACATGCTTAAAATATCATTAAAAATTTCTATAAGTCATGGGTCAAGTTAAGAAAAAAATTTAATGGTGTTTAAAGAGTAAATATAGATAATTATTTTATTAATTCACAATAATAAATAGATAAGAAAGAGAATCAAATCTAATATTTATAAAAAAAAATAAGAAAAATATTTTTAATGAGGCTGAAAAATATTTTTGTTTTCTCCCTTTTATTTAACTTTCTTTGTGTTTATCTCTCCTCTGAAAATCAATAAGAGTAATTTCTTTCCTAGCATCGTAAAATATATCGCATAAGATACTTGATTGGACTATACTTGGACAATTAACTTTATATAATTGAGACTAAACATCAAAGATTAAAATTTTAAAAGAAAACTGTAAAAAAATAAAATTCTTAGAAAAATAAGAATTTAGAAATATAATGCTTATCTAAATATCTAAATTAGGGGATTGACCCCTTTGTCTAATCCATGCATTTCCATTTGATTTTTTGAAATTGGGATGTAAAACTGAAAGGGCACAAATTCTCAATTATTATTATTATTTTTATTAATGAAGTTAATTTGCATATTCTTTGAAATTTTTTTAATTATAATACTAAGGTTAAATTATAAATTTATTTTTTAGAATTCATCAATTTAAATTTCATGAATTTTAAATTACTACAAAATTATATAATTATTAATTTTAAAATTTATAAAATTTATTAAAATATATACAAACAGGCTGGATGGCCGGATACCCACATAAAAAAAAATTATCAATAATTACGTGCACATTAACGGGATGGATTTTGATTCTTTGGCATGTCTCGCACTGAGCAATATACTCTGCGTCTCAGGAAAACTGGAAAGTAATCGATCATATGGTTACAATTTATCTGTGGGCTGGTGCCCAATACAAATAATAAGAAAGAAAGTTGACTGCATAAAAGTTTTCTGTCAAAACCAGCTTCGTTTTTCCTTTCCTTCATCAAACAACAGGTTTCTTAAGCCTAATTAAGCACCCCCATCATAACAATCTTGCTCGTCAGCTTTCCCCTAATACTTACTGATAACGTTTATTCTCTTTTCTTGACCACCAATTACGTTAATTTGTTCTTGATTTCTTGAATTTAATTTAGAGTTTTGAGTTATTGTACCATCGAGCTAACAGAAAAATATATTGTTTAGGTGATTTTTACAAATAAAATAACAATGTTTGAGACAAAAACTAAAAAAAATTCTTGGATTTAAGCTCTAATGTCACCAAATTTAGACCCAAGTAAAATCTCAGGTCCCATGTACAGATTTCAAACCCAAAAGAAGCATATGACATGGTTTTTACATAGAAAAATAAAAGGTAGGAACATAATTTTG